TGTATGAGCACTGTGCATTTGACAAAGAAAACGTATTCAATACCTATCAAACACTACCACCAACATAGTAACTGACATAATCGTCGTCGGTGTCTATGAAGTTGAACATTTTGTATTATTTGTTTTACTTAAAATTCTCTTTTAGACACATTTGTGGGAAACAACCCTTTACATTTATAATATACAAAGAACTCTGTTAAACTTTGGCTTAATTAAAAAGTTACTCCTATCAGCCCAAGTACAGATGGGCTTTTAAACATTTTGCTATGACATATGTTTATCAAAATGTAAAACAGATTTTCATAACATAATAATAGAATAATAAGAATTATACTATTATGTATTGCTATCTTAAAGTAGTTACTCAGAGCACGAGATATGGGCATAAAACCTCCTCCAATCAGGGCCCCAGTTCTTGCTACGACAAATCAATGCATTTCTGCAACTGGAAATGCCCATGTTCTCAGCCAGCCCTTGGCAGGGTGCAGCGCTGGCGCTTTTCAAGCCATGTCCTGAGTTCCGCTTGCTCTTGGGATGCCTGTAGCTTCTCACACACCGCAGACCCAGGAAATGATCTGAATCAGAGCTCAGCCCTCTGCAGACTGTTTGTGACAGGCACTGCCCCGCCTACAGCTGCACATCCTGTGTGGAGTCCGAGCAGCCACGCAAGGGCCCTGCCGCCACCCGAAGCCCAGCCCGCTCTCCCGGCCGTCACACTGCCACTCTGGAGCTCTGCTGGGAGCGCATCGCGCTTTAAGAATTATCCAGCTTACCTGAGATTGTTTTAGAATTATCAAAGAGATGTCACCACGGTTGCTAGAGAAGTTTGCAGTGTGATAAAAATCTAATAAATAAGAGAGTCTGAGTCATTTTGCTAAAATCCTGAAGACCTAACGGAAATAGGTGTGTGAACAGAATGAGTAGTCGGAGGGAAGGGGTGAGCTGAGAGATGGAGCCAGGGCTCTGAGCAAGGAATCTGAGCATGCAAAAGGGTGTGTGTGTGTGTGTGTGTGTGTGTGTGTGTGAGAGAGAGAGAGAGAGAGAGAGCGCACCAGCCTTCACATGTGTGTACTGTGTGACACACTCATGAGGAAAAGATTCAGTTTGTAAAAGGAACCCCAGCTACGCCAGTTTCAACACCCCGATTCGTCTCAGAAGGAGCCCGAGCATTTGCATGGCCCGTAGCACATCCGCTACTTCCATAATATCTGTTCAACTGCTGTAAGTCAGGAGTCCAGGGGCAGCGCCAGCGGGCAAAACAAACAGCGGCTCGGACTCCAAGCTTCACTTCATTTTCCTTGAGAGCAGTAAAAACTGCCTGTGTTTCCTCGGGCGTCACCCACTAGAGTGGACCCTGGACTCAGCTCTGCCCCTGCTTGTCACACCCTGGCAGGATGGGGCTAATGACGTGAGGAAACTTTCCCTCTTGGGCCCCAGCACTGAGGAAGAAATGATGGACAGCAGTGTTAAGTGAAGGTGCACAGTGATACTAAGTGACACAAGGGCCACCAATTACAAGGTGAGGACACTGAGTTGCCCCTTTGCACAGAAATCCTCCACAGGGACAGCTTCCTACTCCCTGCAGTCCAGGCTGTGCTTTGTACATCCTACACCTCACCCAGTCCGTGTCCACAGGGAATCAGACCACGTAGTCCGAGTCCACAGGTAATCAGACCACGGTCTCGGCATGGTCTCCTCTGCCTTTTTGAAAGCCCATAACCGAGCTCATCAGCACATCAATTCTCCCCAGGACATCCGGGTGCCCTGCCTTCTCCTCCCTGGGGCTGAGGAAACGCCTCCCGGCTGGCAGGGTGATATGGCACAGAGGAAGGGCCTGGGGCCTAAGCTTAAGTTGCTTCTTATCAGAAAAGCTCCACCCTGACAGGCAGCATGCTAACCTGGCCAGTAGCAGGACAGAGTCGGCTCTGCCAGCAACTGCCGCCCTGCCAGTATGCCTCTCCCACACACCTCTGCGCAGGCCTGTGTGGTTTCAGCAGTGCCGGGGCTCTGTGGTCTGGACATCAACCTGTCAGCCTCAGACTCTCACCAGGAACTGTCCCAAGACTTGCCTTTAACAAGCCCTTGAACACTTACCCTGGAGAACAAAGGGAGATGTGGCTCCCTTGACTTTCCCAGGACCACCTGACAGGCTCCTGCCAAGACTTCAGAGCCTTCAGACCTACTCAATTTCCAGTGAGAAACTGCCCAGCAGTTGAGCTTCCTTGCAGCCACGACACTGCCTAATATCTCTAATAAGCATTATCAGGGGCAAATTATTTGGAGTCGAACTTCCATTCAGTCATCCAACAAACCATTATGATCCTGGATCTAGGGCCCGATAACACTGGGGACTTGGGGACACATCTTCAAATAAAACACTGTCCCTGTACTCAGAGACAAAGATAGAAAGCACATAATAAATACAGACAAAGATCATTCCAAACAGTAAAACTAACAGATAGAAAGTAAATCCGCATGTAAGGCTGGCAGGTGAGCAAGAAGCGCGCTAAAGTGTTTCACACAGACGTGTGAGCTCTGCGAGGTCCACGCAGTTCTGAGCTGAGAAGGAAGGAAGAGAAGCAGCAGGCTGCCAAGACACTGGGGAGCGGAGAGGGCGGCAGGGGCTTTGAAACAGGAGTGAGCTTGGTGCGCTCGAGGACCGCAGAAGGCACAGTTCATGGAGTGTGAGACACAGGGGCAGAAGATGGCGTGGAGGGAAAGCTGGCCCTGGACTGTGGAGGGCCCTTTGGGGAATTCCAACTGACTCTCAATAAAATGAAAAGCCACAGAAGGGCTTATTCTCAGGATTGAGTCACAGCAGCAGGAGAGGAGAGTGAAATAAAGGCAGGCAGGGGGCAAGCAATGGGTCAAGAAGTTACTGTGGCGATGCCTGCAAGAGCCAGCTGGTGTAGGGTCTCCTTAGGACGGAAGCAGGAGAGAGGGCAGAGGGAGGAGCTGCCGTCACACACACACACTTTCATGGTGCGTCAACAGAACTGGCTTTTGGGTGAGATATGGGAGCGGAGGGAGAAGTTTCAAGGCTTTTTGGTCTCATTTGCTAGTGGAGAAAACTGTGTATTTGCGCTCTGTCAGTTAAGTTCGCTGTGCCAGTTAGCGTCAAGGTGGAGATGCTGAGTGGACCGTTTGACAGGGGGCCGCAGGGCTGGCTATGTGAGACTGTGTGTGATCAGCAAAAAGTTACAGTAGTTTTTCTAATCTTTGGATTTTCTTTTCTCTTTCTTTTTCCTTCCTTCCTCTTTCTTTCTTTCTTTCTTTCTTTCTTTCTTTCTTTCTTTCTTTCTTTCTTCCTTCCTTCCTTCCTTCCTTCCTTCCTTCCTTCCTTTCTTTCTTTCTTTCTTTCTTTCTTTCCTTCGCAGAACCAGGGATTGCACTGAGGCCCTTGCGCTTGCCAGGCACCGTCTCCCCAGCCCCTAATCTTTGGATTTTCAACCTTATCCTTTCAGACTGCTAGCAACTCTCTCCAAGGTACTTTTACTACATTACTAAATGTCCACCTCTGGCCTGCTCATCGCCACGTGAAATCCACCTCGTGGCTCCCTCCTGAGGTGTGCTGCTCGGGGACACGGTAATGCCCTTGGCTTCCTCACCAGGCTGGCACATTGCAGCACGCGAGCATATTGGATTTAAGGTATTTGATTGCAGTCTGAAACATCAAAGGTAAGTCCACACAAAAAAGGTCATACTGCATCTCATATCTGAGAAGCCAAGAGCAGCCCATTTAATCACTGGGGAATATTCTAGTGGCATTAGACACTGGGAATCAGACACTGAAGTTCGGGAGTGACTGAGGGCAGTCTGGAACCTCCTACCGATGTGGAGACAAGGTCCCCATGTCAACGCCCCTGTTGCTTTTTTGGGCAACAATGTGTGCACAGAAGACACTGTAGTTCTACCCACAGTCCTCAGACTCATCTACTTTGCCCGAGTTTATCTGCATTACGATTATGGGAAAGAAATCGATGCTTTTAATTATTTATTTATTTATTTTGTATTTCAGGGAAAGGGCCTACAGGGTGTTGAGGGGCTCACTACTAGATTGGATTTGTAGTGATCTGCCTGTTTACGGCCTCCCAAGAGCTGGGATTACAGGCTCCCAAGAGTAAATCTATGGTTTTAAATGTAGCCCTTACCCAGCATTACAAGACTGAGAAGAACTCGGGGTCAAAGACCAAAGGTGGTGGATGCAGGAGAGAAGGCAGCCTTGAACTGTGTGGATGCTGTGAGACTCTGCCCCCGGCAGCACGGGGCGTCTAACTTTGAAGGAAGCAAGTGGGCACAGCCTTGCTTAAGGAGACAATTTAAGGAACAATCAATTCTGTCATCTAATAACAACTTTAAAACAGCACTACCAGGTGATTATTTTGAAAGTTCCATGATATCAGTTTATAGAATAAAAACTGAAGGTTAATGTCTATCATCTCTTATTTATCGATCTAGCCTTCCAGCATCATTTCTTTTGTTTGTTTGTTTTTTAATGTATTTAGTTACAGGGTCTCACTATAGAGCTCGGATTCATGGAGATCCTCTTGCTTTCAGCCTCCCCAGTGCTGGGATTGTGGGCATGCACCATCATGCCAGGACTTGGGCTAGCTCAGTCCACCTTGGGGGCAGGGCTGGCACAGCATGTGGTGCCAGGCATTGAACCTCAGTCCCAAAGCTAGCCTAAGCTTGCTTAAGCAGGCACTTTAGTCCGCTGAGCTATCTCACCAGCCCCCAACATCAATTTAAACTGGTGTTATAAATTTGTTAAGGAATATTAAGGAAAGCTTACTGAACATGTTTTTGTTTGAAAAGGACCATTATATCCCATTGGTTATAAATATGTGATTCTTAATTCTCAAAGGATGATAATCCATTTGGAAATATTTGGGAACTACCTAGTAATAGTATAACAGTGACATATTCATTAAACAAGCAACTGATGTCAATATTAAATTGATATATTATTGTTAAAATCATGAAGAAGAGAGTGTTCTTACCAGTTTCCTTCTGGATTTATGAACTGCTGCACTGCATAGCCAAACTGTTCACTTGAAGGACCGGAAAATATTTTTGCTCCTGAGAGACCAACATTGTATGCCAAACAGCAGTCTAAAAAACCTATTAGGAGAAATGAGAACATAAACCATGTTTACAACTTGCAAATGCAAATACATACTATGATTGTTGAAGGCCAGTTGAAAACCTTTCTTGGCCTGATAATTATTCTCCTCAGTATTTAACAAGAATTAATAGCAGTTGTGTCTGAGGTACTTACCCGGATTCCTGGAACTCTGCTAACTACTTCTCACGTATGGTTCATTAACACATCTAACCCACAGAAACCCATCCCCTGTAGAAGATGGGCCACCACTATTGCCTTTGTTTATACAAGCTTCTGAAGTCCTAGGAAGTGAATGTACCCCAGACAGAGAGCTTTAAAGTGAGGGCAGGATTGGAACACAGGCCTGGTCAGAATTCCTCCAACCCTTGGGCCATCTCTAGGACTCTAAAGTAACGTGGGTTCTATTTTTCTGTGCTAACACAGTTAGACTCTAAGCCACCCAAGTTCAGAGTCTGAAGGATACCTTCTATTTCCTCTAGATTCCCTTATAGATCTTGACAAGATCTCTATGAAATTTATGTTGAAAAAGGCAGTGATGGCCATATCAAAGGAGGTAGAAAATCACAGCTCTTTGAAAATGTTTTTATTTTCTTTCAGAAGAGATCATTGTGGAGGATAAAAATGTAGCAAAATGTATCACATATTTTTTTATTCTGGAGTAACTGTCAGAAAGTAGTTTTTTTTTTCTGATACTTCTTTCTAAATTGTCAAAAAAGACAATCATAGGAAAAATTTTAACAAAGACCAAAGAAGGTAATGCCTTGGCTGAATTTTTTTGAAAAAGCTTGTTTCAGAAAAACAAAGAGGAGAAGCACATCGCGCGTCCTCTCTGCCACTGCCAGCAGTAGGGCAGCAGTCCCTCGTTGTGCAGGAGGGCCATGTGGCTGCAAATGCTTCTGGTACGATGGAAATATCCTGCATGTTGTGTGGGATATGCACTTATCTTTGCAGGCCCTGAAGCCAGCGCACTCTTGGAAACGGGCATTTACAGTTCCACTAATATGTGCTCTGACGAAGGAATGCCCCATTCTTGGTAGCCCTGAGAGCGCACAGCACCTGCTAAGTCAGTTGTTCCAGGCACCGGAAGGCAGAAGGAAAAGGCCTTGCTATTCCCTGCAGCTCTTACACATCTGGGTGCCAACGCTGAAGAGTGCTCTTTCCGAAGGAAAAGAAAGTCAGCCACAAAGAGCCAGCACCACACGCCTGTCAGTGCCAGAATCGCTCTACTGGGACCAGCTCACTAAAGGAAACTCGGCTCAGTGTTTCTTAGAATTTGGTGCTACCAGGAAGAGAATGACAAATGTTAATTTCAAAATACTGTGAAGGAAAACCTATACAGCCTAATATTTGCAAATTTTACCCTTGATATCTACTTTTTCATGGGCACCGTGGCTCCTTTTTATATCTGTGACAAAATGAAAACAGAATCTGCACTCAAAAACCTGATGTTTCCAATCAACACTACTTGAATATTTGCCAGTTGTCAAATATACCAGTAAACACTTGAAAAGATGGTGTCAAATTGCTCGCGCTTAAAAAATACCTAATGCTACAGTCAACTCCACTTCTAACACCAGTAAGCTTTGATCTCCATGTGTGTGACTAAGTGCAGGGGAGGGAGGACCATGGAGAGACACTGTGAGTGTGGATAGAGACACACAAAACCTGGGCCTGCGGTGTCCTTAGCAAAGGCAACAGTTGGAAGCCGGCCCTTCCCACAGCCTTGGCTCCCTAGAGAGCAGCACTCCAAATTCCTACTTCCAACAAAAGAAGAGACTGTGGTAGGGACAGCAGAAAAGGATCCTCACAGAAGCCAGCACAGTCCTGCCCCTGCGTGACTGGGTGGGGAAGACCTTTGTCTTGCTTTGGTAGATTATGTTCTTCACAAAAAAAGTACAAATATTAAAAAAAAAAAAAGTCTAATACTGTGAAGAATAGATTTGACATAATATAACGACTTCCATCTCTCTCTCTAATAATTAGTCCCCGGCAAATAAGGTACAGGCCTGGCATTGCGGAGCTCATTCCATCTTCTACAGGTAGATTATTAGTCTCATATCAGTGGTGACTTGTCTAGTGACACATGTTTTGAGAAATAGGCATTGGGTTGTTTGTTATTGAACAGACACAATCGAGTATATTGAAAGAACCCTAGTGGCTATGACAGCCTTGGTGACAATATTACTGGACCTTCAGTGTATTTGTGGTCCATTGTTGACCAAATGTCCTTATTTGGTATGTATAGATAGTGTATGTGTATTGTTTTGTATGTAAGTTTATTATTATCAATCTACAAATAAGGAGAATAGAATTGATTTTACCATCTAGCAGTCTAATGGCATTATATATGCATAACTACAACTGCGGTACACATAGGCACAGTATCACTGCCAGTGTGAAAGCCATCATTTTATCTCTGCTTCAGTACCTCATCATCCTGCTTCTGCACTGAAAACAAAGCCCAGTTTCCTTCCCACAGTCTCGAAGGTCCTTCGCGATCGCCTACTTGGGCTGTGTCCTGATCTCGCTTTCCTCCACTCCCAGGTAGCTCACTGTGGCCCCGTCACACTCACTTCCCTTTTGTCCCTTGAGCACATCCGGTTCATTCTGCTCACAGCATTTATGCTGCCTTTCCCTTGCCTACCGCACTGCCCACCTCAGCGGCTGGCCCCTGGTGTCCAGGCAGGTCCTTGCCCCGTGGCCCTCTGCTCTGCCAGGGAGCTCCAGAACCCTCCTGTCCTGCATGTTATCATAAGTTGGCATGTGATATTACCTCCTGTATCTGTCTCTGCTGCTGCCCACTAAAATCTGAGCTCCACAAGGAGACCAAGAGCAACGCGAATCAAATAAATTGCACTGGGGCTGGGGAGATGGCTCAGTAGACTAAGCACTTGCCTGGCAAGTGCAAGGGCCTGAGTTCAATCCCCGGCTCTGCAAAAAATAAAAAAATAAAAAATAAAAATAAAATTGCACTTTGAATTAGTACACATTCCTCAATACTGATCTTGCATTCAGAGAACACTGGGGATGGAAAACGTCACACAGAGTCTTATTCAAGTAATGCAAGAGCAATTAAATTGGAGAAATTTCTTTCCTGTATTTCTTCCCTTTGAACAACCATGAGCACCCCACCCTGTATCCTACTACTTCTTAGCACACGTATCTTCTTGGTGGTGCACGAGCCATCTGGACTCCTCTTACATCCAACGTGACCCCGTGCTACCATGAACTGCAGCTAGTGTCACCACCAATGTACAAATGAGAAAGCTTGGGCTCAGGAAGGCAGAATGTCTTTCCCAGTCACTGTAGACCAACTGGTGTCTGACCTCTGAGTCTTGTAGAGAAATTTTATTGTAGAGAAATTTCATTCACAAATATTCTTCTCACTTTCTCATGTATCATTCACTCCCATTCTGTCATTCCATTGATCTTAAATTTGTTCTTACTTGCTATTTAAATCTTTCTCTTAAAACCCTGTTATATTAAATAAAACTGATTGATCTCAACTCACAGGCTTATTTCTCTGAAAAATACTTTCACAATACAATATTCATATCATTCCACACTTGGCATATGATAGCTAATCATCTTCTATAAATTTGATATATAGTACTATCTAACCCAGTGTCCATTTCTTCTTTGTAATCCCAATGGTCATAACATGTTTCTCTGTCTTTCATAAAAACCTAAATGGGGGGGCGGTGGCGAGATAACTCAGCTGACTAAAGCTCCTGCTTAGGCAAGCTTAGGCAAGCACAGGGACCATGGCTCAAACCCCAGCACCACATGCCATGCCAGCCCCACCCCCAGGGCAGGCTGAGCCTGCCAGAGTCTGGGCGTGGTGGTGCACCCCTGTAATCCCAACACTGGGGAGACTGAAGGCAAGAGGATCACTATGAGTCCAAGCTGCACAATGAGACCCTGCAACAACCAAATACATTAAAAAAAAAAAAAAACCAAAAACTAAATGGGTTACACAGAAATTAAGAACTGCATTTTGCTCATCTCATTCCACCATTCCATCTGTGCCCGCCTTTCTGTAAGTACCAACAAATAAACCATAGAACAAACATACAGATCCTTTATGCAAGAAATTGTTCTAGGTCCTAAAGATATAGCATATAAGCAAATGGGCAACACTCCTACTTATTCTGTTGATTTGATGCAAAGCCAAATTATATCTTCATAAGCTGTGTAAAAAATACAGAGAAGTCCATTGATCTGAGTCCATAGGCGAGAGGGGAGTAAATGTGGGTTCACAGAAGATGCAGACATTGATCTGGGTCTTGAAGGATAACTTGGAATGCACAACCTTAGGTGGGGGCCAAATCCATTCCAGGGCCAGAGGACGTCACATTCCGAAGGCAGAGAGGAATAAGAGAACAGAATGGGAATGGCGAAGTGCTTGCCCTAGCATACTGCCAATCACTTCATTAATGTAAACATTTCCAGATTTATATGAGGTACACCGAGTCCCAAATGTATTTCAACTTTGCCTACCTGGGAGAGTATTATTATCAGAGCATAAATCTCTCTTTGTCCTCGAGTGTAGCAATAGCACAGTGAACTCAAAACACTTA